ATACTGTTTTTTTCAGTTACAAAATTTAAAAATAGTTGACTACTTCAATCACAAAATTTTAAAGTAATTAAAATGTTTTTAATTACTATTAAAGTAATTAAAATGTTTTTAACTACCGTTATAACCGCAGTTAGACCTTACCGTTATAACTGCAGTTATAACCTTGTCATAGTGAAGATACGACTATTTCATTATGACAAGGTTTTAACAGCATTTTGGAGAAATGCTTTAAGACTCTGATTGTCACATGCATGGTTTGGGCGTATACTTACACATTAATTCACTTATTTGTCGAGAAATTAGGTTTGAATCCCTTGACCATTCTTTTATGTGCTTCCGCCTAACATCTCTTCACTCTATCACCTATCATTTGCCAATGTTGTTGTTATTGGTGACTTTAATGCTCATCACACTGAAAGGCTTGGCTCTAACGCCACTGACCCTGCTGACACTAAAGTCTATAAATTCTATATTGCTCAATTTCTTACTCAGATAGTTAACTTTGTGACTCGTCTTCGAGACAACCCTAATCATTTACCTTCACTCCTTAATTAGCGATTCAACGCGTACTTCTTCTTCGGACCTATCATTGCACTACTTACTACTACACCAAAACTGAATAGGATTCTATTTGCGATTTTATTTGTAATGGTTTTTGGGCTGATATCTTTTCTCTCTCTGCCTATAAATCCGCCTCCTAATTAACTTCTTGGATCCAGGCAGGAATGGAAACTTTTATTCTTTCTCGGTGGTTTCAAGTCAAGTCTCATTCTACTTCATACCTTTTTGTGCAGCTATATAATTGTAATTAATTCATTTTTTTCAAAGTATATCTAGCTTCTGTGGCATATCATAGTCAAATCTCAATAAAGCTCTTCTCTTGTGGTTCAGGCAACATTCTTATCATAGTCTTAAAAATTTTTCTCCAGAAAATTCTTTTCTTACAAGATTCTCTCTAAACTATTTAATAAGTGCTTGACTGAGTCTTGTTTTCGTGCCAGTTGGAAAATGGCATATGTGGTTCTACTTTCAAAAACTTCTGAGAATATTCTGGTTCCTCCAACTATCGTCCAATTAGTCTTCTTTCTGTTATTAGGAAGTTTTTTGAGTATATTTGATCAACAAAATTCTTACATTCCATCTTGAATCAAACAACTTACTGTCAGACAATCAATACGGTTATCGGTCCTCTTGCTCTACCGCTGACTTGCTAACTGCTGTGACTGAAAGATTTTATTGTGTATTAGATGGAGGCGGTGAGACTAGTGCTATTGCTCTTGACTTATCTAAGGCTTTCAACATAGTTTGGTATGCTGGTCTTTTCCATAAGCTTGTTTAATATGGTGTATCTGGGGAAGTTTTTGAGATTATCAAAAAGTCATTTCTTTCTAACCACGATATTAAAGTCATCCTCGAAGGCCAACACCCTTCTTTATTTCTAGTCACTTCTGGGTTACCTCAAGGTTCTATTCTTGATCCCGTTTTGTTTCTTATCTAAATTAATAATTTTCCTGACAACCTTACATCTAAAGTTGTTCTATTTGCTGATGATACAAAACTATACTCCTGTCTCAACAAAAAGTCTTCTCTTTTTAACCGCTTAAAACAGGAAATCAATCTTTAATTGGATCTTTCTTTTGTAATAGATCGAGGTTTGCAGTGGCTTGTGAATTTTAACTTCAACAAAACTCAGTTATTTATTGCAAACAACTATTGCAATACTGTCAACATTCCTATATTAATGAATGGCAAGCCTCTTACTGAGTTCTCTTCTTTACGTCTTCTTAGATTATCTTTCACAACTGACCTTATATGCAATCGATTGATAAATTAGCATCTGCTAAGGTTGGTTCCCTTTATCGTTCTCGCCATTTTCTTACTCCTTATTCTATTCTCTATCTTTACAATATTCTTATGTGCCCCTGTATGAAATACTGTTGTCATATTTGGGCTGGTTCTTCTAATAATGCTCTTTGTCTTCCAGACAAAGTCTAAAAACGTATTGTAAACGTAGTTTGTTCCCGCTCTATTTGCCATGCTTGAGCCTTTTTTAATTTGTTATTTAAGTGCCCTAAGTAGACCTAACGGTCTTTTTGGGGCACCTAAATACCCAACTAAGCATCGTGGTAGTGCATTTAATCAGAAAGTTCACGCCTCCTTCCGTGACGCGAAATATGTCCAAAGCTCGTTTTGAACCTGGATCTCCTGCTTTTAAAGCAAGCGCTCTAACCACTGCGCCACGGCCGCAAGAGGCAGGGAGCTTCACTCCAATTGTCGTAAACTTGCATCTTTTTCTTTTACCTACAAATTCTATCATGGTAGCTGCTCAAAGGAGCTATTATCTCTATCAACTAAAACTTATTCTCGTTTGACTCGTCATGTAGCAAAGTCTTATTATTTTTACTGTATCTGTTCCCCACATGTTCTAAAAACTTTTATTCGTCTAGTTTTTTCCTTCGCACTTTAACCCTCATACAATAAAAGCCGCTGTATGGCTGTTGAATCTGGTAGTTTATCATTACGAGCAGCTGCACTGGAATATAAAATTTCGAAATCCAGTTTACAGCGGAAAACAAAAATTAATAAAGAAACCTTTTACAATGACTTATACTTAGATGAACAACATAAATATATTTTTAATAAGGCGCAAGAAAATGAGCTTTCAACATATCTTCGTCAAGCATCTGATATGCATTATGGATTTAATGTTAGAAAAACAAAGCAACTTGCATATCAATATGCAATTAAAAATGACATTAAAATACTAGAAAACTGGAAAAAGAGTCAAACAGCTGGAAATGAATGGTTTTATTTATTCTTAAATCGTACAAAATTATCTATTCGTATGCCAGAAGCTACCAGCCTTAGTAGAACAACTAGTTTCAATCGCACTAATGTAGATACTTTCATCAAAAACCTTGACAGCGTACAGAAGCGCTATAAGTTTTCTGCTGATTGTATTTACAATATTGATGAAAGAGCTCATACAACTGTTCATAAGCCAGTGAAGGTGGTTGTAGGTAAAGGTGTAAAGCAAGTAGGACAGGTAACTTCTGCTTAAAGGGGAACCCTAGGTTTAATGGTAGGTTGTATAAATGCCCTTGGAAATTCTATTCCATCGTTTTTGGTATTTCCTCGTGTCCACTTTCGTAGCCACATGCTTAAAGGTGCACCAGTAGGTACTAAAGGTGATGCTAATCCTAGTGGATGGATAAATACAGAAATATTATTGAAATGGTTTGATCATTTTGTGCAGTATGAACATCCTAGCCAGCATCATCCATTACTTTTAATAATGAACAGCTACTAAAGTCATATATTGATTGAATTGATGGATAAAGCTAAAGAAAGTAATTAGTACTCTTGACATTGCCACCCCATTGCAGCCACAAATGCCAACCACTTGACAGTTCAGCATGCAATTCATGGTTAAAGGCACATCCGAATACTCCTATGACGATATATGACATTTCTGAAAATTTAGGAATAGCTTATGCGAGAGATTCATAGATTTACCTTTAGATTTGACATCTAAAGGTAAATCTATGGAACCCTTAAAAACATACTTATGTTCTATGCATAAAATGTAAATATTACAACTGAACGTTGAAAAGAATTATTGTTCAAAATTTTATTGGACTTGCGCCCTGCAAGTTTATGCTGAATCGAATCTCAAATATTTACTTTTATACTAAGGAATTTAATAAAAATTTTTAAACTGAATCTTAAATGGAATCTTATAAAAGTTACTACTTTTTCTTATTTAAAATGTTTATAAAAAACATATTAACTACGAAAGAAAAGTCACATTTTTTGATAGTGGACAAAATTTTAAGAAAATAAGAGTGTTGCAAATTTTACAAATCTTTTGAATGTACTTTTTGAACATTCAAAACTTTAATCAAAACATGTTACTTAAAAAAAAAAAACAATCAAAAAATGTTACTTTTTTTTCGTAGTTATCTCAATATTTTGCGGACCAAATGTCAATAAAATTTTTAAAACAGCAGCTTATGCATATTATTTCGCATAAAACTCTTTAGCTTTTAACATTTTCAGCAAACAGTAAATTTTTATGGATTGTCAACGCTTCAAAATAAGGCATACATTAAAGGCTGCCTTTTTTGAGTAATCAAGCGTTGTTGCAGTAATGCGTGTTAAAGTGTTACCTTTTAATGACACCTATAAACACCAATTTTTACGAAAAACTATTTGATTTAAACTGATAACTTTTTCCTGATCAGTAACCATAAACTGTGAAATTTGATGAAAACGTATTTGACAAATCTTATTAATATGCACTAGAACAAATTAGTACCTTTTTCAAAAGATTTTGCTTTAAGTAAACTATGTAATATCTGAAATTCAAGACTCCAAAACTCCATTATATTTCAAATAACACCCGTACAATAACATTTGAGATTTAATTAGTAATAATTAATGTAATAAAATAATTAGTTTTTAGAATCAAATTAAAGCTCTTGCAACTTTTTATTCATGAATATTATGACACCAAGTACATCTTTTCGATTTGGCAACACTCACAATGCTAATTCGGTAACAAATTGACTGAAGACACAGAATATACCATTTGTTCAAAAAAAAGGACAATCTAGCAAACTTGCCAGAAGCTCGTGCTATAGAGGATTTTTTGGGAAATGACTAAGTGGTATGTGTACAAAGATAGATCATCTAAAATGATATGTCAAGCCTTGAGCATCGGGTTCGCTATTGTGACAGTAGACATGACCTAAATGCTGTACAAAAGCTGGTACAAGGTATTAATAACAGACTATGTTGTCTTGTGATAATTTTTTTTTTAATTTTCTTTATTCTGCATATTTTATCATATTTATTTAAATATATATAAAGCCCATCTCAAATTTTATGGTACAGGTGTTAAAATAAAAACTGACCTTAACTAGAATAAGATGAAAAAACAGTGAAAAAAATAGTAATAGTAAAAGATTTCAGATTTATTTATATAAAAAACAATCTTGTCATAATAAAGGTGTTAATAACTTTGATGTAAAAGTTTCCAATTAAGTTACTATATTAAATAACAGTAAATATTTTACACGTTTAAAACGTATAAACATGTATTCAAAATAAAGAAAAAATAATAAATTACAAGCAACATTGTTATATTTATAGAAAGAATAATATAAAAAATATTCATAATTATTTCAAAGTAAATTATTTTGATTTGTGTAAGCAATAAATTATCTAACGGCTAATTCATCAATACTAAAATTTTCTACGGACGAAATTCCATGAATTGTGTAAATGATCTTGAAGCGCAAGCGAACTTCTTCCTAAGATACAAATTGTAAAAATGTATTATATAATCATAAAACAAAACTCGATAAACTTACAAAATAGTTGCATACTTTAGTCGGATTTGCAATAAGCATAATTTGGGTAATAGTAGGCGGAGGTAATATCGGGTTAAATGCTGGCAGCTCGGTTGAAGTAGCTGGTTGAAGTTTAACTCTCATTACCTAGCAACAAAAAATAATTTAAAATATTACGAAAAACCTTTAACGTAAATAATTTTTTTAAATTGAGTTAAGAAATGTCATAGTATCCATCCAGTTAACTAGGGTTTTATGAGATTTTATATTAGTACAAGTCATCTAGAGTTTTATATTAGGCACCTAACCATCAACGATTTTAATGTAAGGATTGTCATTTAGTTCGTTTTTTGGTATTTGAGGATAAGAAAAATGAAAGAACGACATGAAGAAAATTATGTGTGGCTGAATATTTAATTAATTAAAAAGAGTAAAAAACCTATAAATTTTTTAAGAAGAAAAAAGTGCCTATAGGTTTTTTAAATTAAAATCTAAATATTCTAAAAAGTTTCAATATGCAAACTGTATCATATAACACACCACTTGCTTTGTGGTGTGTTCAAGTTGTATCATATAACACACCACTTGCTTTGTGGTGTGTTCAAGTTGTATCATATAACACACCACTTGCTTTGTGGTGTGTTCAAGTTGTATCATATAACACACTACTTGCTTTGTGGTGTGTTATATGAACACACTTGAACACACCATGTATTTGGGTATAACAAATCATTTGGCACACCCAAATACATTAGATTTTAAAATATCATGGATTTTAACGTTTACATAGAATTCTACACTAAATTTAAAAAATCGGAATTTTAATAATATTCAAGTATAGAAAACCAAACTGATCAAATTAAGAGATAAATATGGGAGTTAAATAAAAAACAGTCTAACAGACTTTATTTCATTTTCAATTTAATTTAACCCAGTTTTAATCTAATTCAAAATAAAAGCAATCAATAATGTGATCATAAACATAACAATTTACCTTTGGAACAGCAACTTGAATAGAAAAATTATTTGTAGGATGTGTTGACGTAGAAACTGTTGAAAGTATAAAAACAAGAACGTTTGGATTTGCAGATTCTCTTGTATCCTTAAAAAACACAAAACTAATTAATAAAAAAAATAAATTATTATGTATATGTGTGTGTGTGTGTTTATATATATATATATATATATATATATATATATATATATATATATATATATATATATATATATATATATATATATATATATATATATATATATATATATATATATATATAAAACTTTTTTTAACTTATATTAATGTTATATCTACTTATCTTTATCCTAGATGCCTATAATTGTTATAAAAAATTTGGTTGTCTCACTCTTTAATTTGTCTTATGAAAGCATTAGAAGCATTGTTAAAACTGTTAAATCTTTTATTTCACAGTGTTTTGTGGACATCCACATAGTTCTTATTAAAATTTTTCAAGAAAGGAAAAGGGATGGTATAAAAAAGTTATTTTTTCTAATATTTGTTACTTTATGTCTAAATAAACAGAAAACAAAGTGTTTGAAATATTTTACATCATCGTATCTTTATAAGAAATGCTTATAAGAATTCTACTTTAATTAGACTTATTGTTATAACTGATGGTGTCATTAAAATTGTAGCCTTTGATTTCATCCATTTTTTAATTTTCCATATTCTTTGCAAATTTATTTATAATTGTCTCTGGTCTTGTTGTAAAAATAACAGTAAATATTTTACACAAAAAAAAAAAAAAAAAAAAAAAAAAATACAACCATTTTTATCAACTTTTATGGTATCTAACTTAGCCACTACTTAAATACACTTATCCAACAACATTTTTTCCCTATATATTTCATTTCATTTTTTCCCCATATATTTCATGACACAATTGCAAAATATGGTTTTCTATTGGATGCAAACAGTTACATTGATTGGCCCATTGGTATTCTTCTTAAGGGAAAAAGATTTCAAAAAGAAATTTTCCAAATTAACAGTTATATTAGTTGCCCCATTGGTGTTCAAATCATTCCCTCAAAAAGATTTCAAAAAAAAAATTTCCCTATGTTAATGTAAATTGCAAAAACCAAATAGATTTTTTTCATTTTAGTGTTGAAGGGTTTTTAGCATTGGAAAGGTGTTGAGTTTTTTAATATTTTAGTTTTTTATAGTTGTTTTCTATATAATATACAAGTTTTAACATTTTTAATTAAAATTTTAAGTGTTAAAATAATAATATAATAATTTGTGATAATTTGTGATCTCGTATTTTATCACAAAAGTTAGGCTCATGTGACTTCTGGAGAATCTTTAATAGTATCAATAATAAGGGCAAGTTTGTAATTCCATCTCTTTTTTGTATGGTTCAGACTTTGTCACCTCACCTAAAGACAAAGCTGAATTATTTGCTAAGAACTTTTCATCAATATCATCTCTTGACTCCACTAGTTGCCCTCTACCTGATATTGCCGTCAAACAGGTTGATCCATTGCTCGACATCCATATCACTCCAGCTTCTGTATCTAATGTGATTTCCTGCTTAGACTCTTCTACAGCTTGCGGCCCGGACAACATACCTGTTATAGTCTTGCAGAAGTGTTCTCCGGAGCTGTCGTCTATCCTTTCAAAACTATTTAACAAGTGCTTATCAGAGTCTTGTTTTCCAGCCTGCTGGAAAGCAGCATCTGTTATCCCTATTTTTAAAAATTCTGGAGAGTGATCCGATTCATCTAACTACCGTCCCATTAGTCTTCTTCCTATCATAAGCAAGGTTTTTGAATCTTTAATTAACAAACACTTAATCTCTCATCTTGAATCTCATAACCTACTTTCTGATCATCAATATGGATTTCGATATTCTCGTTCTACAGCTAATTTGCTAACAGTAATAACCGATAGGTTTTATCGTGCATTAGATAAAGGTGGAGAGGTTAAAGCCATTGCTCTTGACATTTCTAAAGCGTTTGATAAAGTTTGGCATGCTGGTCTTCCCCATAAGCTTTCTTCTTACGGTGTATCTGGAAACATCTTTAAGATTATTGAATCCTTTCTTTCCAATCGTAGTATAAAAGTTGTTCTTGATGAACAGCACTCTTCTTCTTATTCTGTAACATCAGGGGTTTCTCAAGGTTCAATCCTTAGCCATATACTCTTTTTAATATACATTAACGATCTTCCAGATATTCTCACATCTAAGGTGGGATTGTTCGCTGATGATACTACCATTTATTCTTGTCACGATAAGAAGCCAACTCCCTCTGATTGCTTGCAGGGGGCATTTGAGCTTGAAAAGGATCTCACTTCTGCTACAGCATGGGGCTCACAGTGGCTGGTGAACTTTAATTCAGATAAAACTCAATTTTTTCAGCCAACCGTTATCGCAAAAATTTAGACCTTCCTATATTTATGAACGGTAATGTACTCGATGAGTCATTTACCCTTCATCTTCTAGGATTAACTCTCACTTCTGATCTTTCTTGGAAACCTTATATTAAATCTATTGCAAAATTAGCATCTGCTAAAGTTGCATCTCTTTGTCAAGCTCGACCCTTTCTTACTCTGGATTCTATTCTCTATCTCTATAAATCTCAAATCCGACCTTGTATGGAATACTGTTGCCATATCTGGGGCGGATCTTCTAATGATGCCCTTTCTCTTTTAGACAAGGTGCAAAAACACATTGTAAACATAGTTGGACCTGCTCTTGCAGCCAACCTTCTATCTCTGTCACATTGTCATAATGTTGCTTCTCTTTTCTACAAATACTATAATGGGCACTGCTCTAAAGAGCTAGCGTCTCTTGTGCCATTTACTAAAATTCATTCTTGTGTTACTCGTCATTCAATTAAGTCTCATCCTTTTTCTGTTACTGTTCCTAAGTGCTCCAAAAACTCTTATTCGTCTAGTTTTTTTCCTCGAACATCAGTTCTTTGGAATTTGCTTCCTTCATCTTGCTTTCCTGATTCATATAATTTGCAATCTTTTAAGTCATCTGTCAATTATTATCTTGCTCTACAACCTTCATCTTTTTTCTTCCAATAACTTCCAACACTAATTAATGGTTGCTTGCAGCCTTGTTGGAAGCGAAGATGTTAAAAAAAAAAAATTTGGTAAAAAGCAAAATTTCGGTTGAAACATAACGAAAACCAAAAAATTTGTAAGATTTTAAATTTTTATCTAATTTAGAAAAATAGTTATTTTTGAGAATTTTCACAAAATATTTTGAGAATTTTCACAAAAGTTTTGAGAATTTTCACAAAATACCTGGAAAAAAATCTTGCTTTACAGAGAAAATCTGCTAGTTGTTAACTTTTGCTATTAACTTATATTGGCAACTTATGAATTAAATCTAAATTTGTGAAACGCGTGTAATCAATTCTAACATATAAAATATACAAGTATAAAACAGTTACACAAAAAAAACAATAAATGGTATTTTTTTATGCGTGTATCGGTTTTGGTAAAATATTTGTCGAAATGTCAGTTTCGGTACCAAACTAGAGTACCTGAAATTTTGGTTTATTTTTGTTCGGCTTTTTTTTCTGTTTTGGTCAATCACTAATAATAATTGAACAATTTATAAATTGTTATAAAAAAGCCCTGCACTGTATTAAATTTTGAATTAGCTAAATTGAATCTTATTAAGTACTTTACATTGCAACTTGCTTCCATCATATATTTATCTAACCATACATAATCTAAGAATTTACTAAAGACTACATTTTCACAATATCAATGTTTGTAGTTGTCAAATAGTCTCACAATCAAAATGTCTCTGACACATAAGCACTCAAAACTCTTTTTTTTTCAAACTATGTAATGTTAAAACATATTAAAGCATATATCAAGTCTAATATTTTTACTTTCACTTGAAAATTGCATTGCTGCAACATCTCCTTAATTTATAGCTTTTATTTGTCGTTTCATAAAGCTTTTTTTTATTAAATAGCATTAAAAAATTTTTCGAACAATACATCTTAGTAGCCAAAGTGGTTAGCTTACAAAGTATCTGATGTCAAGCGCTAAATATCTGAATGATGCGAAGCACAAAGTCTGAATCAAAGGTTCAAACCCTACCACTGACACTTTTTTTTTTTAATTTTTTTTTTGGATTTTCTATAATACAAAATAAAACACTTTTGAAATTTTATAGATATATATTAAAAATATATAAAGATATTATATACTATAAGAAACGAAAGGAAGAGAATTTTTAAAAAAGCTTAAAAATTCTAAAAACATCAAAACATCAGGAGAAAAATACTTATGTTATTAATGTGCTCAGGTAATTAACTGTAGATGGTCTGAGAAATGTAATAATAAGCTGTAGATGGTCTGAAAAAATTATGATCTGAAACCTAATAAATAAAAATTTAATAAGACAGTCTTGCTACTCCAGAAGGTCAAAAAAAGCTTGTAGTTAGAAAAAACTTTTAAATTTTATTTTAACAATCAAATCTTTTTTGCTTATATATTTTTTTTGCTATAAATATATATGGCCAGATTGAAAAAATTGAGAACATATTATGTTAAGGGGCGGATTTGAACCCTCACAAAACGACATCAATGACAGCGCATTAAACCATTGATCTATCAAATTTATGCATGTAACTGAAAAACAAACTATTTCATAAACTCTTATACCAATTGCAATTACTTTTTAACACTTTTCAAGCTGCAGCATGCACTGCATAACATTATACTAATTATATAAGTGTAACACAAACAATAAACAAATTTGTAAATGTATAAAATCCACTTATATATCGTTTTATACAGGATCGTGTGCAATATAAGAAAATTTTTTTAATAATTACACATCTGTTTTACTTGAACTGTTTTGTTTTGAATTTTTGTATTATTGTGTTTAAAAAAATTGACAAGATTAAAAAAATACAAAACATATTGTTTCATCCAAGTGGAAAATTTGAAACTTCGATTTTAGATTTGTCCCTCTCTAGATTTTTTCTGATTGCTAAAATTCTGTCATCATTTTAGTTCAAATATTTATATAGTGTTACATACAAATGTCTGTAAGTGCAAATGTCTTATAAGCATATAACAGACAGTATATAGAACAATTGTGTATATGTATAATATGAGAAAACCCTAAAATTTTAATTTAATAACTTTTAATTCTAATAATTTTAATATAATTTTCTTTTTCATTATTTATAAATTTTTTACTATATATACGGTAAGATTAAATATATACGGTAAGATTGATAAAATTTTAGAATTTATTACGCTAAGCTAAGGACTTGAACACTCCAAAACAACAGCTATTGATGAAATACGATTTGAAGAAAAACAAACCTCTTATAAGCTCTATGTTTGTCGAAAAGGTACGCATGTCATTATTATAGCAATTTTTTAGAATTAATTATTTTACTAAAATTTTTAAAGTAAATAAGGAATAAGTTTAGAAATAATCAATCTTTAGAAATTAAAAAAAATTTCAAAATTTTTACGCTTAGGGGAGGTATTGAACATCCCTAAAATGACACTGATGACAGCGCGCTAAACCACTAAACTATCGATGATATACATTTAACAAAATTAATTATAAATCTCTATTATTAGCTCTACATATGCGGAAAAGGTGTCTATGTTAATTTTTTTTGCTCTTGAAGCAATTTTTCAGAATGAATTATTTTACTAAAAAATATTGAATTAAATAAGGAAAAGGTATTGAAATGATCCATGTGGAATAGATAAGTATAGAAATGGTCAATTTGGTTAAGACCCATATTTTACGAGTCCAGAAAGCTAGAGAATATATATAAGGAAAAAGTATAGAAAAGGTTGGTGTGGAATAGACTTACAAAGACCCATATTTTTTTGGTCCAGTCAGCTAGTATGCAATATTTGCATTTTGATGAGTATTATGTTGTAAACTGTATTTATATTTTTAATGGAGTTTTAATACCTAAACCTAATTTAAAATTAAATTAAAAAACATTTTCATACCCAACACAATTGTTGCATTCACATCAGTGCAAATCATTGAAAATAGAATTTCAAATAGGATCTTGAAAGTACTGGTAAAAAGGTGATCAAAAGTTGTAAGGTCAAATGACCTTACAACTTTTATAAATATAAATATATAGAAAAGATAATTTAATAGATGCTTCCATATCAAAAAAAAAAAAAAAAAAAAAAAAAGAAAAAAAAAAGCTTTCAAAGTTTAGAGTTTCAAAATAACTGGTCTTGGTCCAGCTATATTGCATTTAATAACAGATAAAAATGTTGAAAATTTTAATAGTTCTGTTCTATAAATTCTCTTTACACTAATTACTTTTGTTTTAAAACTTTTTATGTAAAATGTATAGATTGTCTTATTTTAGCTTCAAAAATCCAAAAGATTGCATCAAGTTCTTTTCAAAGAAAGAACTAACAGTCAATAACCAACAACTTAAGTCAAGAACCAACAGACTATATGAATACATTCAAGATTTTCAGTTTTGTTATCCTAAAATATATTTCAAAATGAAACAAACAAAATTTATAAAATGAATAAGATTGCATAATGTATGAAAAAATTAGACTTACTTAGATACAAAAAAATGGACATAGAGCCTTTTGTTTCATGACTGAGGAGAGACCAAACTTAATGTTAGTAAATTCAATTTTTAGTTTTTTGTGCAAATATTTTATTTGTAATTTGCAAAAATTGTATTTAAATATAAGCTAAGTTTATGCCTTGACTGTGTATTTATACCTAAATATTTTAAAATAAACACATTTTTCAGTGCATTATTCAATTATTTTTTTCTATGCCTAACTTGTCTTATTCTAAAGGGTTTTGAAAAATGTCTTTATTGTGAGGGTTTTGGAACATGTCTTAACTTGCAAGGTTTTGGAACATGTCTTAATTTGCAGGGTTTTGGAACATGTTCATATGCATAAAAAAACTTGAAAGGTTTTGAAAAATATTTATTGTTTTGTAGAAAATAAATATTTTAACAACAAAAATAATACCCAGCAAATTTACCTTCATGTTTATATATAAACATGGAAGTTTACTAGAAAAGTTTACTGTGTTTTGGAACAAGTTCTCTGTAAAAGATGAAAGTTTCCAGGGATTTGAAATATTAATGTAAAAGTTGTAAAAGCACACTGAGTGAAATAACTAAATAAAAATAAAAGCAATGCAAACTTACTGAGACTATATTTAAAAATGTTTTTAAACCATCTTTATCAAGAATGACGATTGGAGCATGACCAGCTATAATCAATAAAAATTGTAATAAATAAATCTAATCTATTTCTTAATCTTTTTCTACTAAAACTATATTTACATTACATACTAACACTCAGTCAAATTTTAAAACAGTGGATCACTAAGTCACAAAACTTTTTATAAATAAAAACTTTATTTATGAAAAAAAATGATTTTTAAAATTATATTAGATCAAATGTTTTTCACTTTTAACATCGTGCACTTTTAACATCGTGCAGCTATCTGTAATATTTTACCTGAGAGTTAAATTACAAAGCTGAATTAAAAAATTTTAAATTGATTTAAGCTGTCAAAAAAATAAGTCTATTGCCAAAGAAAAAAATTAAAAAAAACATTAAGCCTAAAAATATCAGTATTAAAAAAACCAGTGTTATAATATTGTAATAGTATATAAAAAGTAAAGGGTTAGTAAGAATAAAAAAAAAAAAAAGCCAAAAAGTAATTGGAAAAAATCACTAGTTTGCATCATTCGCAAGCAATAGATTTATTAAGATTTTACCAGCTGGAAAATATAACAAATTAAAATTTCATTTTTAACAAAAAATCTTGACGCTTGAACCTGGTTTTGTAACAAATTTGATGAAAAAAAGAAAAGCATGCAGGGTAATTGTAAATAATAGCTAATCATAGTTAATAGCAAATAAATATCTTTAAAAGAAATGTATGTCAGAAGAGGTATCAGAATTTACCATTTCATCTGGTGGGAAAATTTTTGACTCACAATCAAAAAGTTCTAATCTATGCCTCTGAAAGTTTGAAGATGCAGCGGCCTTAACAAGGTTTATACTTCAGAGTTTAAGTATGGGAAAATTGTATTTCCAATAAAACAAAAAATGATATATATATATATATATATATATATATATATAAAATTATATATATATTTATATATATATTTTTATATATATACACATAAAAATATATACACACACACTTAATGTTTTTCTTTTTTTTTAATATGTCAAAATATATATTTTGACATATTAAAAAAAAAGTGATTTTAAGTTTTGTAAACTTAATCATGTAACTTACAAAAACAACTGAAAAATTTATAACATTAATTATAATAACGGTTACTTGGGAACTTTAAAAAAATAATAATAATTACTGGGCTTAAGTGTTTCCAATGGCACCAAATAACTTGTTTGTGAACTGCTTAATGAAGTATCTATTGTTGTTTTAGTATAATTTGATGTAATTTCTAGAGAAGTTTGTGTCTCATCGAAACTTTGCAACATAGATTGGTAATTTTGTTTTGGAGTAAATATAAAAGAATTTTTTTTTTCAGAAAATGTCTCAGATGAAATGTCTTTATCTGTAGTAAGGGTTAAATTTTGAGGAATTTCAAGATCGAGCAAATGGTCAATTGCAGACTGGTTGGCACCATCTATTTTGTCTAAAAATTCAACGTTGTGTTCTTCTAACTTTGATTTAACTTTAGGCTCTCGAAACTCACTAAATACATCAAAATCAAATAAATCCTGGGTGTTTTTATTTTTTAACTCCTTTGATAACTCTTTTGTTGGTTCTTGAACTTTTATTGGAGTTGTAATGACTGGTGCATTACGAATAAATCCAACATTAGCCATGTTGTGAGTAGAAACTGCAGAAGCAGAAGAGGGATAATAATATGGTGGTTGATTCCTGATAGAACTCTGAAACGATTGTTGATGATAAGAATTTAGCATTTGCTGCTGTAAAACCTGTTGCATTCCATAACTAGATTGTATTGTTACAGGTTGATTATTTGAAATATTTGAAGATAAAACCTGTTGCATTCCATAATTAGATTGTGTTGTTACAGGTTGATTATGTAAAATATTTGAAGATAAACTTATGCATGAAGAAGCTTGAATAGACTAAAAAAAAATATTTTTTCTTGTTTTTAAAAAAAAAGGATACCATAGTGCCTTAAAAAAACAACAAACACAAAACATAACTTTACATTAAAAATATATATATTAAAATAACTCTTTTAGAAATCCTTTATTTTATACAACTTAATAATACTTGTATGCACTTCTATTAAAAAGTCATAAATGTAGCTTGTTGTTAAAAAAACAAAAAACATTAAAAAAAAAAACTGCCAACATTTTGATTCAAAGTAGATTCCGTCAAATCAAGCCCTAAAAAAAAAATGATTATTTTAATAATTAGAAATGAAATAATGAACATTATTGTTAAAATGCAACTTACCTAACATTTTAAACTGCTCTTCCAAAAGAGAGGTTTCAGATATGTTGGATAATGGTTGGATTGTTTTGGAATCAAGTCCGAGATCTAATAGTGAATCATTTGGTGATGCTAAAATAAAAATGAAAAATATTTATATATAATAGTAATAATAATAATAATATATATATATATATATATATATATATATATTTATATATATATGTATATATATATATAAATATATATACACATATATATACACATATATACATATATACTTTTTAATGCAGATGGAGTTAGTTTTTATTAAATTTAATGTTTTATACTGTTTTTCTTTTTAATTTAATTTTTTATTTTAATGTACATAAATTAATTTACTTAATATACTCAAAGACTCACACAAGTTAACCATACTAATGTTTCTATTTATGTCTTAGATGTTGTTAACACATAATATAAGCTTCTAACTAAAAATTATTTTAACAAGAAATGTCGAATAGAATGTGAAAAACACAATACCATTATTTTATATTTACATTTTATTTAAAGCGATATCAAGATGGAACATTTTCTATAAATACAGAAGTTGTTTTTAGGAATTTTTTAAAAAAGAAATCTATTTGAACAAAAGAATTGTTCTAAAAAAAAAGTCTTTTAAAATTCTCTCATTCAAATATTTTTGCAATTTAACCACAAAAACAAAAATTAAAAGACTAGAATGTTTTTAAAAATATTCTGAATGTTTTTATTTTAATTTTTTTACTGTAAAACATGCGGTACATAGTACAGTGTTGCTACATCGACTATCTAATAGCCTTCTGATACAAGGGAGTGCTGCTACATTGACTATCTACAAGGGAGTGCTGCTACATTGACTATGCCGCTACATTGACTGAGGTTTGGTTGGGGCAGTCAGTCTATCAAATTATAGAAAGAAGTTTTTTAACTTTTTCAGGTCTTTTTTTTTGTAGATATTTTCAGAACTTTTTCAGGTCTTAAAAATACAAAAAAAAAAAAAAAAACTACGTAAGAAAATTTGCACCTTTCTCAAAATACTTGTGATTGCCTAAATTTTTCAAAGAAATCCAATTTTTTCCCAAAATTTACAAGGATTTTACAAGAATTGGACTTTTAAAACGTGGTGACATGCAGCACTCAGGAGTCAATGTTTGCCTGCTTTCAAACTCATAATTCAAATCAAACGCTGCATCTTTTGTTAAGCAAGGTCCAGCAATTATAATTGGAGAGCAGCTCCAATTATAATTGGTGTCTTATAATTGCTGTATCACTGCCAATGGTTGCGCTGGTTTTGATGTTCTTGCTTTGTGGCAGGGAATTTCACCTAATTTAAACCTAAGCAAAATCTTTTGGGTAAAATTGAAAGCAGAACTAAAAAAGTTCTAAACAGAACCCAATCTAATTAGCAGAAATGAAAAAAACAATGAAAGTACAGTATCATAAAATAACACCTATAAGCAACATAAATATTCTGAGTTGCCTCAATGCTGTAAATAATAGAAACTGTTCTATAAGTTGATTAACCATATAAAGTACTAAAATATGTTTTATATGGCGATTACTTAATTTTTTTAGGTTCTAAAAAAATTTAAAGTTTATGTTGGTTTTTGAAGTAAAGCATTTTTTAGTAATAAATTCGGACAATGGTTAAGAAGTTTTTGCACTAAAAATATTGGGTGTTCAGATCTTTTTTGCCATTACTGTGTATATATAAAAGTGTGGGCATGTGTGTGTGTCT